CTCCATTCTCCTCTCGGGATCTTGGGCATGCGCACATGCCCGGCGTGAGTTTTAAGCCACCGGGTCCGGGACGCGAACCACGGTCGACTATGTGGGAGTCCAGAGACATAGCCATTACACTAACTGCTTGGTTCCCTATTTTAAAACCTCAAACGCGAATATATCTTACCATGGATAGTGACCGAGAATAAGATGGCAGTGTTTCTTTTTTTCTTTCTTGAAAGTAACGGAAATGATGGGGTTTCTTTGATGGCATTTTAGATTCACTGAAATCTGGTCTTCTGTGGCCTACTGGTTAAGGGAGTCAGATTCCACATGGCCAATTGCGCAGCTCGAATCCTAGCCCGGCATGAAAAACACACCAAGTGTGTGCGCATGTGTGCTCATGCCCCATGGGGAGTGCTTTCTCCCTCTCTATGTCTCTGGTGAACGCATGGGCCCTCTGGAGATTACTGCAAAGGAGCAGATACTTGTATGTGACAGTTAACTTTTAGAAAAGGTCAAGCTCCACACAGGTGGAAGACTGACCTTCAACTTCTTTGAGATAAAAGCCAACACACCCTAACTGACATTTTTTTTTTTCAGAGAGGTTTTTGCTATAGGGTGCGTGTGCTCACCAGAAAGACAGAGAGAGACAGAAAGAGAGAAAGCGAGAAATCACCCCCCAGAGGGATGGCCATGCTGTAATCCCTTCTCCTCCATTCTCCTCTTGGGATCTTGGGCACATATGCACACGTGCCTGGCATGAGTTTAAGCCACCGGGTCCAGGACTTGAACCACAGTGAACTACATGGGAGTCTAGCAACGTAGCCATTTTATGCCATCTGCTGGTCCCTCCTAACTTACATTTTGATCAAGTGAAACAGTAAGAGAAATCCATGGCCTGCTAAACAGATAGCATGAAAAATGAGAATTGTTTTAAAAATTTACCAGAGAGAGACAGAGACAGAGAGAGAAATAAGAAAGGGAGAGAAAGCACACTGCCAGGTCTGGGACTTGAACTGTGATCAGCCATGTGGGAGTCCAGCACCTTAACCACCATGCCACTTGCTGGCCCCCAAAAATGAGAATTGATCAACTCTACCTTGTGACCCAGAGGACAAGCCAATTAACCCTATTTCTTCTCTGGAAAACAGAGATAATGAGAGTCTGAAACTTACAGCTGTCTGGTCCTTCGTGCCCTAAGATCAGTGTGATGGTGTGTGGAACGCCACAGGACCAGAGGGGGTCCGTTGGGCCAGCCGACATGTAAGGTAAGGATAGAGATGACTGTAGGCTCCCTTCCAGCTTCCAACTGATAAACTCCTGGCGCGAGTGCGCTGCTACTCATACACTCTGCCCTTGTTACAAAACAGGAAAATAACTATAGCTCCCTCAAGAGAAGAGAGAACTACTGACGAATCAGGAGCACTCGGCCTGGTCCCCGGTTTTCTCCCCTTGCTTTAGCCTGCATCCGAGAGAAGCAGCAGAGAGTAAGTAGGGCTGGCCGTAACAGCATTTAAAAATAAAGGCAGAGGGGACCAGCAGTTAGCGTAATGGCTATGTCGCTGGACTCCCATGTAGTCGACCGTGGTTCGCGTCCCGGACCCGG